GAGAGAGAGAGAGAGAGAGAGAGAGAGAGAGAGGGGAGGGGGAGGGAGGGACAAGGTTGTCCTCCATAAAATTCCCTGACATTTCCCTGATTTCCAGAAAAATTTTATAATTTTCCTTGACTTTCAATAATACAGATTTTGAAAATTTTTTTTGTATTTTTGTATTTTTTCATCCTGATTCGAAAATCGTTAAATATTTTATTGATAGAGTAATTTAACATAGTGTAAATTATTACTGAGTATTGTAAATTATTACTGATACTGCATTTAATTGTTAAGTTATTGGGAGTACAAATAAGTTTCCGCCGTTTTTATCAAAAATTAAGGATTTATTGTGAAAGAACGGTACATAATGTTTTATTCAAAGTAATGGCCATCGCTAGCCACTACTTTTTCCCATCTTTCTGGTAGCATGTGGATACCGCGTTGGAAGAACTTCATCTTTTGAGGCTATCTAATCATCGATACAATTTTTGGTATCTTCATATGATGTGAAATGCTGCTCAGACAGGCCATGCGTCATCGATCGGAACAAGTGATAGTCGGAAAGAGCAATGTCTGGAGAATACGGCGGGTGGGGTAGAACTTTGAGTGTTTCTAAATAGGTTTTGACCGGCACAACATGTGGTCGAGCATTATCATGCAGGAGAATAATTTTGTCATGCCTGGAGTAGTAGTGGGCGCGTTTTTCCTTGAGTGCTCGGATCAATCTCATCAATTGTGTTCGGTAGAGAGCCCTAGTAATGGTCTCGTTCGGTTTGAGCAACTCATAATACACAACACCAAGCTGATCCCATCAAATACACAACATGAGTTTTTTTCTATGAATATTTGGCTTGGCTATCGATGTTGAAGCATGGCCAGGTGGTCCCCATGATTTCCTCTTCTTTGGGTTATCGTAGTGGATCCATTTTTTATCACCAGTGACTATATGGTACGATGCAAAAAAACCCTTTCGTTTATGCCTTTCAAGCAGCATTTCACATGTGAAAAATCGGCGTTCAACGTTTCTCGGCTTCAGTTCATATGGAATCCAATTCTCTTGCTTTTGAATCAATTCCCAATGATTTCAAACGATATGAAATTGTTTGTTGAGTCATTCCTAATGTAAGTTCTTTTTGCGTTTGGCACGAATCTTCATCCAATAATGCTTCCGCGTCTTCGTACACTTTCGACCTTCCGCTATGTTCTTTGTCTTCGACGTCAAATTCGCCGTTCTTAAACTTTTGAAACCACTCACGACAACTTCTCTCACTTAAGGCAGCATCACCATATGACCTACAAGCAATCTATGAGCCTCAGCTGCAGATTTCTTCAAATTAAAGAAGTAAATCAAAAGTTCCCACAAATGACGCTTATTCGGCTCAAAACTCGACATTTTCATACAAAAAAAAATACATGATGCTGATACAAAATCGCTAATATTTCAAGGTTATGATGTTGCCGGATGTCCAATCTTACGATATGTCGTTTTCAAACAATTTTAACTATAGTTTATTAGTGGCGCCGTCTTTTGCAAACGGCGGAAACTTATTTGTACTCCCAATAATTTTTTTTATATTTTTCTTTTATGTATGAACACGATTCTTTTCTTCTTTCTCTCTTCCTCTTTGTTGCTATACATAGAACAGAGCCTTCCAAATCGGGCACCGCAGGCCCTTAATTCCCTTGCCTCTCGCCCGCTCATGCTTGTTCCTCACCATGAATCCAACGCTTCTCATCTATTCATGCACCGGCGCGGTGACGCAGCGTATTATTTCGTATAGCAGTTAGGCGCGGTTTCATTGAAAGATATATGTATACCAAGAAAGAAATAAAAACAAAAGGAGCCATATTTATGACTTATTTTATTCTCGTTTGGGATTTCTATTAATTCTAAGAATTATATTTAAATACTTACTTGCGACAGCTTTAAACGCGTGTGGCGGGAAAACTGGAAGGTAGCGTTGGAAGGGGTAAAATTGAGAAGGGCCTGCTTATTGTTGAAATCTTGGCGGGGACACGATCACGTGACTATTTGGAAGGCTCTGACTTAGAATATAAGAAGAATAAACATAAATCAATGAATACAGTTTCTTTTTTACTAAAACTGAATCCTGTTTATTAAAACCTCAATCTGCTATTATGAAGATTAACATATTTGAAAGAAAAGTCACAAAAATATGAAATTAACATTTATTTCTCTCTTGTTCATAAACATATAACGTGACATAGAGAAACATAGAGAAATATAACATAACATAGAGAACTTCCTTAGATAAAACAAAAAAACATACAATTTAAAAATTTCGATGTTCTTATAATAGTAAAGCATTTTAAATCACTACTAAAGTTTACGTTAGCTTTTTAACATAAACACTAAAATTTCAAATCATTCAAATTTTAAATTTCTTTACAGCTTTATTTTTCCAAAAAATTTTGCTAAATCCCTGATTTTTCCATGACTTATGGCAACCCTGAGGGAGAGAGAAAAAGAGATGGTAATTTACAATCTTTTTAAAGTATGACATAAACATTTAAATATGAGAATTTAAATATTGCAAATCTGTAAAAAAAACTTGCAAGAAATCTCAAACATATTAACTGAAATACATAAAAATTTTTTTATTTTTTTAAATTAAAATTTTTCGTAAAATTTTTTTTAATTTTTTACAAAAAATTTGAATTTAAAAAAATGAAAAAAATTTTTAATGAATGTTTTTTATTGAAAATATTAGATGTAGTAAAAAGAAATCCATTAGCCTTCAAAAAATTATGGTGAATTAATCATTCCATAATGAATGAAATATGTCGTAGTCAGATTTTTTAAAGATGTGGAACATTATTTCAAAAATTAAAAATCAATTTTTTATTTGTATTTTCAGAAATGTATCTAATATAATATTATATATATTTATATATACATTATTATAATTATATATACATTTGGAAATATTTTATACAATATGGCATATGTAATCAGAAGTAATCGATTTTTTTTATATTTAATTACTAACATCGTTTCCGCCAAATAATTTTTATTGACGCAATTACGTATTTCAGTTAATATGTTTGAGATTTCTTACAGTGTCAAATTTTTTTTACATAGATTTACAATATTTAAATTCTCATATTTAAACGTATAATATCATGCTAAAAAGTGTAAATTTTTTTCAGATTTTTTTAATTCACACGGCAAGAAAATAAAAATAAAAAATTAAAATTAACGTTTTTCACCATTGGATAAGTTTACATGGATAAGTTTAGCAGGTTGAAATTTTATGTAAAATAATCTTTCATCAAGCTTAACAATATGATGTATTCAAAATTGAATTTGATTAGGGAGCATTTTTTATATGTTTATGTTTCAGGTATGGCCTTTATGGAGAAATTTCAGCGATTTTCAGTTCAATTTTAGCGATTTTTCAGCATTTTGATTGATAAAAATTAATTTTAGATTAAACAATGTAAGTAATATGGCTCAATAAATTTAGTTTATTATTAACAAAAGAAGGTTACGAGCCAAAAAATTATATCATATATCATTAGTATATTTAATATTTATAAAAGAGACGTCAAAGATATATATTTTATATTTCTTATACATTTTTTATTTTTGTTTATTATTTATGTTCAATAATTTGTCAAATTTTTGTTCAATATATCTTTTATAAATACTAATGATATAATGTAATTTTTTGGCTCGTAGCTCTCTTTTGTCATACTAAATTTTAAATTAATTTTAACTCAGTGGAATTTTAATTCAGAAAAATTTCAGTAAATTTTCAGCAAAATTTTCAGAAAAATTTCAGTAAATTTTCAGCAAAATTTTCAGAACAATTTCGGTTTAAATTTAGCAATTTTTTAGGATTTTTCGCTGAAAAAATCACACTGACAATATTTCAAAGAAATTTTAGATAAAGAATAATGGCAGTTTAGGGCCAAAATTTACCTGCAATTGAAACGTACGAAATCGATCAATTTTTATAGAATTAGATATGCTGAATTCAAATATGAAGCTTAAAATTCTCAAAGTCCGGGGAACTTTGAGAAAATTTTTCTGTATGAAAGCATCGTTTTGCAGCAAAATGTTTCTTAATAAACAAATAGTAATTGTAAAAAAAAAGAAATATCCTTTTATTAATATTTTTCAGAAGAAAAAAGAGAAATCTCTGCTATGAAATCTCTTATTACCGAAATTGCACATTTTTATGATTCTCTACTTTGTAAGTTCAGACTGCATTTCTTAACCTGCTTGCGCCTTATGTAACAAAGATGCTATTCTTTGGTCGTAGAGTTATAAAAAAAGTATGATACATTTTTCACATCGCCATGATATAATAAAAAATTATAATAATGATGACGATATATTAATATATAGATTAGGATATACTTTGCGTCGCAGTATCTCTGCTCTTAGGGTACGCAAAGAAAAAAAAATGCATTCTTATTATACAATCTGAATGCAAGCTATCGATTGAGCATAGAACTTTATCGATTCAACCCTTATTCAATATTATTGAAAAATTATTGGAAAATATTTTGCCGCAAAACAAAGCTTAATATTCTTCAAAGTTCCCTGGATTTTGAAGAATTTTAAATTTCATATTCGAGTTCAGCACGTTTATCTGTATAAAATGACCGATTTCATATGTTTCAGTTACAGATAAATTTTGGCCCTAAACTGCCGCTATTCTTTCAAAGAAATTTGAGCAAATTGTAATAAAATGTTCGAATAAATTTGAGGAAAAATTTTGGTTCAATTTCGACGATTTTTTAGTATTGTTGTTGAAAAATTTACTTTCAGCGAAATTTCAATGGAATTTTAACAAATTTTCAACAACTTCTTTAAAATATCACTTTCAACAAAATGTCTGCAAAATTTCAGCAAAATTTCTCATCAGGGATTATATTTATTAGGGCTATCTCTGTTTATAAGATAAAAAGGGATAGCTACTTAACAGTGACACTCTATATATACATATACATATTTATATATAATATATATATATAATATATACTCATAAATTTGAATTCAGTCTCTATTCTTCCTAATATTTTTAAACGTGGTACTTCGTAGTCTGTCCTTTGAGATAAATTTTCATATTTATTGTTGTTAAAGATAAACAGGTTCTTTTTCCTTTTTAATAGATTCTTGTCTGTACACATATCATATAGATTTTTATTATCTGTAGCACATTTTTTCTCAGCTGCTCCTTTATTATTATAATAAAAGTTAACACTGCAATCTTTTTCCTAGTTAACAAAATGACAACATTAACATTATCTTCATGATTATACTTTTTTCTTATAATAGCAAATGTTGAATTAATTTGTTAAATAGATTTATTTTTTAAATGGAATGTATGAAGATCTTTAATAGAAGGAGTATCTCTAATAGAAGGAGTAATTTTGATCTGTAATATCTATAAACTTTGATTTTATAAGCTCCATGATAACAATTTTGACATTTACCTTATTTTTGTTTATTCTAACTCTAAGTAAAAAGCCATTTGTTCTATGTCTATCCCCACAAGTAGGTTTGCTATAACCATCATCAGGTCTAAATCGTAGTTCTAATCTTCTATTAGGAACATTTACAGTCTGTTAAATAATCAAATATATAGTTAAATAATATAATTAAACTAACTGAATATAATATTTATTATTGTATCATACCATAGATATGGAACTAATGCCACCCAATGTTTCAATAGCTTTATCGACATTAACAATGTTTCCTGGATATTTAATACATATTAATTTCTTGTCGAATCTGTGTCCAGAAAT